ATTTGGGATGATCCCGTTCCCACATTTGGGATGATCCCGTTCCCACATTTGGGCTGATCCCGATCCCACATTTGGGATGATCCCGTTCCCACATTTGGGATGATCCCGATCCCATTCCCGTTGGTGACTCCAGGCAGGTGAGGGACACCGGGATCCCGGGAAAAGCGGGAATTCAGCCTCACCCCGCTCCCGTTCCCATTAACTGGGAAACTGCCGGGGCAGGGATCCCACATCACACGGGAACACCGGGAATGGGGGATTCTGCCCTGATCCCATTCCCAGAGCTTTGGCAGCTGAGGGATCCCACAGGGATCCCAGGAGAGGGGAGATTTTGCCCTGACCCCATTCCCAGAGAATCCCCAGGTGCAGGATCCCACATGGCCCAGGGATCCCGGGTTCTGATCCCATTCCCAGAGGAGGATCTCAGGGGCAGGATCCTGGGAATGGCCGGGTTCCGATCCCATTCCCAGAGGATTTCCAGGTGCAGGATCCCACATGGCCCAGGGATCCTGGGTTCTGATCCTGTTCCCAGAGGATCTCAGGGGCAGGATCCCGGGAATGGCCGGGTTCTGATCCTGTTCCCAGAGGAGGATCTCAGGTGCAGGATCCCGGGTGCAGGGCCATGTTCCAATCCCGTTCCCAGAGAAGGATCTCAGGTGCAGGATCCTGGGAATGGCCGGGTTCTGATCCCATTCCCAGAGGATCTCAGGGGCAGGATCCCGGGAATGGCCGGGTTCTGATCCCGTTCCCAGAGGATCTCAGGGGCAGGATCCCGGGTGCAGGGCCATGTTCCGATCCCATTCCCAGAGGATCTCAGGGGCAGGATCCCAGGTGCACAGCCATGTTCTGATCCCATTCCCAGAGGAGGATCTCAGGGGCAGGATCCCGGGTGCAGGGCCATGTTCCGATCCCATTCCCAGAGGAGGATCCCAGGTGCAGGATCCCGGGTGCAGGGCCATGTTCCGATCCCATTCCCAGAGGATCTCAGGGGCAGGATCCCGGGTGCACAGCCATGTTCTGATCCCATTCCCAGAGGATCTCAGGGCCAGGATCCCGGGTGCAGGGCCATGTTCCGATCCCATTCCCAGAGGAGGATCTCAGGGGCAGGATCCTGGGTGCAGGGCCGGGTTCTGATCCCATTCCCAGAGGAGGATCTCAGGTGCAGGATCCCGGGTGCAGGGCCATGTTCCGATCCCATTCCCAGAGGATCTCAGGGGCAGGATCCCGGGTGCAGGGCCATGTTCCGATCCCATTCCCAGAGGAGGATCTCAGGGGCAGGATCCCGGGTGCAGGATCCCGGGTGCAGGGCCGGGTTCTGATCCCGTTCCCAGTGGAGGATCTCAGGGGCAGGATCCCGGGAATGGCCGGGTTCTGATCCCATTCCCAGAGGATCTCAGGGCCAGGATCCCGGGTGCAGGGCCATGTTCCGATCCCATTCCCAGAGGATCTCAGGGGCAGGATCCCGGGTGCACAGCCAGGTTCTGATCCCATTCCCAGAGGATCTCAGGGCCAGGATCCCGGGTGCAGGGCCATGTTCTGATCCCATTCCCAGAGGATCTCAGGGGCAGGATCCCGGGTGCAGGGCCATGTTCCGATCCCGTTCCCGCCGTTCCCAGCTGGAGCAGTTCCTGAACCAGTCCTCGCCCGTGTCCGTGTGGCTGGACGAGGAGCGCCTGGAGCGGCTGCGGGAGCGCGACGAGCGGCAGGAGCGGCGGCGGCAGGAGCTGGAGGAGCGCTTCGGCCTCCTGGAGGACGGCGTCCAGGACCTCTTCCAGGACAGCTCCCGGCTCCAGGCCCACCTCCATCCCCTCGTCCAGCCGCCCTTCGGCGCCGGCCGCTTCCCGCGGCGCTTCCGACGCTTCTCCGGAGCCTTCCAGCCGCTCTTCCAGGCGCCGCACGGCGGCTTCCAGCAGCTCTTCCAGCCGCTCTTCCAGCTCCTGGAGGATTCCCAGCGCTCCTGGGAGAGCCCCTGGGCAGAGCTGGGGACAGGTGGGAGCCACGGAACGGGGCCGGGGCTTGGGGTCCCAAATTTGGGTGGGATGAGGGATGGGACTCCGGAACGTCCCGGGGACTTCCGAGGATCAGCTCGGTCCTAAAGGGAATTCCCGTGGAAAGGTGGGAATCGCCAGCTCGGCTGGGATTTGGGGCTGTGGGCCCACCTCGATCCCGGCCGCTGTGGTGGGAATGGGCTTTTGTTGGGAATGCTGCGGCTGTTTGGGTTTTTTGGGAATGCTGCTGATGGTTTTGTTGGGAATGTTGGGGCTGTTTGGGTTTTCTGGGATTGCTGCTGATGGTTTTGTTGGGAATGCTGCTGGTGTTTTGGTTTTTTGGGAATGCTGCTGATGGTTTTGTTGGGAATTCTGCGGTTGTTTGGGTTTTCTTGGAATGCTGCTCATGGTTTTGTTGGGAATGCTGCGGCTGTTTGGGTTTTCTTGGAATGCTGCTCATGGTTTTGTTGGGAANTGTTTGGGTTTTCTTGGAATGCTGCTCATGGTTTTGTTGGGAATGCTGCGGCTGTTTGGGTTTTCTTGGAATGCTGCTCATGGTTTTGTTGGGAATGCTGCGGCTGTTTGGGTTTTCTTGGAATGCTGCTGGTGGTTTTGTTGGGAACGCTGCTGGTGTTTGGGTTTGCTGGGAATGCTGCTGATGCTCTTGTTGGGAATGTTGCAGGTGTTTGATTTTTCTGGGAATGTTGCCAGTGGTTTTGTTGGGAATGCTGCGGCTGTTTGGGTTTTCTTGGAATGCTGCTGGTGGTTTTGTTGGGAATGTTGCAGGTGTTTGGGTTTTCTGGGAACGCTCTTGATGGTTTTCTTGGGAATGTTGGGGCTGTTTGGGTTTTCTGGGAATGTTGCCAGTGCTTTTTTTGGGAATGTTGCCGGCTTTTTGTTTTTCTGGGAACGCTGCTGATGGTTTTGTTGGGAATGCTGCTGATGGTTTCTGTTGGGAATGCTGCGGCTGTTCGGTTTTCCTGGGAATGTTGCCGGTGTTTTTGTTGGGAATGCTCCGGCTGTTTGGGATTTTTGGGGAATATTGCAGGCTTTTTTTGTGGGAATGTTGGAGGTATTTGTGGTTTTGGGGAATGTTGCTGGTGGTTTTTTTTTTTTTAAGGAATATTGCAGGTGATTTTTTCGGGAATATTGCAGACGGTTTTTTGGGATTGGTACCAATGGTTTTTTTGGCTGTTTGGTTTTTTTGGGATTGCAGCCGATGTTTTTTTGCCGTTTGTTTTTTTTGGGATGGGTACCGCTGTTCTTTGGGCGTTTGCTTTTTTCTGGGATTACAGCCGATGTTTTTTTTGGGAATGTCGCAGCCGGTGCCGTCACCGTCTGCCAGCGCAGCCCTGGTGACGGGAGGGGCCCAAATTCCAAGGAAAAATCGCCCAAATCCCAAGGAAAAAATGATTTTTTGGAGCTGCCGGGGCTGGGGGGGTTCAGGGAGCTGAGGCCGGGCCGGAATTCCCGCAGAATCCCGGAATTTCAGCAACGACAAGATGGTCTGCCGGGAGATCCGGCGGAACTCGGCCGGCTGCCTGCGGATGCGGGATGAGTGCGAGCAGTGCCGGGAGATCCTGGCCCTGGGTGAGCCGGGAATAACGGGAATAACGGGAATAACGGGAATAACGGGAACGGGGACGGGGACGGGGACGGGGACGGGAATGGGAATGGGAATGGGAATGGGAACGGGAACGGGAACGGGAACGGGAACGGGAACGGGAATGGGGATGGGAATGGGGATGGGAATGGGAATGGGGATGGGAATGGGAATGGAAAACTGGGAATGGGGATGGGAATGGGGACGGAAATAGGAAAGGGAAAATAGGAAAGGGAACAAGGATGGGAATGGGAATGGGGACGGGAATGGGAATGGGGATGGGAATAGGAAAATAGGAAAGGGAACAGGGATGGGAATGGGAATGGGGACGGGAATGGGAATGGGGATGGGAATAGGAAAATAGGAAAGGGAACAGGGATGGGAATGGCAACAGAAATGGGGATGGGAAAGGGGACGGGGACAGGGATGGGATTGGGGAAGGGGTGGGAATGGAAAACTGGGAAAGGGAATGGGGAGGGGAACTGGAACAGGGATGGGATGGAAATGGAGATGGGGATGAGGGAATGGGGAATGGGGACGGGAAAGGGGATGGAAAAGTGGGAATGGGAATGGGGATGGGGACGGGAATGGGAATGGGGATGGCAGTGGAAAACTGGGAATGGGGAATGGGGATGGGGATGGGAACGGGAATAGGGATGAGGCTGGAAAACTGGGAATGGGAGTAGGCATTGGAATGGGGATGGGAACAGGAACAGGGATGGGGGATGGACGGGAACTGGGAATGGGGATGGGATTGGGAATGGGAATAGGGATTGGAATGCGGATGGGAACGGGGACAGGGATGGGATGGGGGGGCAGAGTTTATGGTATGGGGTGGGTCTGGGGGGGTTTGGGGTGCAAGGGGTGCATTTTGGGGTCTGGGGGGATGGGATGGGATGGGATAATGGGATGGGATGGGATGGGATGGGATGGGATGGGATGGATTATGATGGGATGGGATGGGATGGGATGGATTATGATGGGATGGGATGGATTATGATGGGATGGGATGGATTATGATGGGATGGGATGGATTATGATGGGATGGGATGGGATGGATTATGATGGGATGGGATGGGATGGATTATGATGGGATGGGATGGATTATGATGGGATGGGATGGGATGGGATGGGATGGATTATGATGGGATGGATTATGATGGGATGGGATGGGATGGATTATGATGGGATGGGATGGATTATGATGGGATGGGATGGGATGGATTATGATGGGATGGGACGGGAGGGGGTGATGACCCCCCCGGGCCGCGCTGACCCCCTGGCACCCCGTCCCCGCTCCCAGACTGCGGGCAGGAGGATCCCTCGCAGCAGGAGCTGCGGGAGCAGCTGGAGGACGCGGTGCGCGTGGCCGAGCGCTTCGCGCGCCGCTACGATTCCCTGCTGCGGGAATTCCAGGAGGAGATGTTCAACACCTCCGGCCTGCTGGACCAGCTGAGCCGCCGGTTCGGCTGGGTGGCCCGCCTGGCCAACCGCTCGCTGGGCTCCGACGGCGTCCTGCAGGTCACCGCGGTGAGCCCTGCGGAGCGGGCCGGGCCACAAAGAGCCCTTTGTGCTCCCGCTGGAAGCCGGCCGGGAATTTCTGGCCGTGCCGGGCCGGGATCCAAGGCCGGGGCCCGTCCGGGGCTCGGCCGCTCGGCCCTCGGGGTGAGCTCCGTGCCCCTTCCAGGTGCTGTCCAAGGCCGCGGACCCCGCGGATCCGGCGGCGCCGGACACGGAGGTGACGGTGCAGCTCTTCGACTCGGAGCCGCTGGCGCTGACGGTGCCCGGGCACATCCCTTGGGACGATCCCAAATTCATGGAGGTCGTGGCCGAGCAGGCGCTGCAGCGCTTCAAGGAGAACGCCGTGTGAGTGCGGGGGGCTTCCCAAAAAAACACCTCCTCCCGTGGGAGGGCAGCGGGATGATCCCGGATTTTCCCTGGCTCGCAGAGAGTAGCTGGGCGATGCCGCCGCCGCCCGTCCGGATCCCCTTCCCGGGGGGAATCGCCGCCTGTCCCTGCCAGCGCTCCCCTCCCGGCCCTCCCCGCTGCCAAACGGGAAATAAAGGTAGAGTTCAGCGCCCTGCCTCTGCCTCCGGAGTTTCTGGGATAATCCTGGGGGGAAAAGGCAGGAAAAACAGCCTGGAATCCGTCGCCGTGGAATTGTGGAGTTGAGGAATTGGGATCTGCTCCCAAATCGGATCCGGCAGGAGACCCCCAGGATTGGGGAGCTGTCCCCGTCCCATGGACACGGATCCCGGTGCCAGGGCCTGTTCCATGGACGCAGATCCCGGTGCCAGGGTCCCCATGGACACGGATCCCGGTGCCAGTCCCCGTCCCTGTCCCATGGACACGGATCCCGGTGCCAGGGCCAGTCCCCGTCCCATGGACACGGATCCCGGTGCCAGGGCCAGTCCCCGTCCCATGGACACGGATCCCGGTGCCAGGGTCCCCATGGACACGGATCCCGGTGCCAGGGCCCGTCCCATGGACACGGATCCCAGTGCCAGTCCCCGTCCCTGTCCCATGGACACGGATCCCGGTGCCAGGGCCTGTCCCCGTCCCATGGACACGGATCCCGGTGCCAGGGCCTGTCCCATGGACGCAGATCCCGGTGCCAGGGTCCCCATGGACACGGATCCCGGTGCCAGTCCCCGTCCCATGGACACGGATCCCGGTGCCAGGGCCTGTCCCTGTCCCATGGACACGGATCCCGGGGCCCGTCCCTGTCCCATGGACACGGATCCCGGT